TGTTTAAACCTTTTAAATTTGTTAAATTGGGCGGGACATGTACATAGAGTCTAGGTAAAAACATGCACCTATAGAAAATTTTCTATAAAAATGTTTTTATTACAAGAGTCCGGAATGTCAAATTATAGTAACATTGATAGGAAATTGCGGCCACGATCTGCCAAATATCGAGCAGAATCTTTATGTCGAGGCTATAGCAAAATGTGGTGCAAAATTTTCTGCAGAGATATTTCCCTTAGGACCCGGAATATCAGATTGGTTGAAAATGCGACTAAAAATCTTAAAATACTGGAAATTAATTGGGACATTTAGGATGATTTCATAGCCAATGTGGATCAAAAATTAGAACTTATTCGGTTGAAAAACGTGCCCAAATAATTGGGATATAGTTATATGGAGGCTAATCCGATACATGGGCCAATACTGATCATCATTTGTAGAAATTTTTTTCAAAAATTGCTGTAAATTTCGTTGAACGCGACTTCAAAGTCCCCAAAGTTCCGAAATTTGGGAAATACCGTTCTACCCTAAAATGTTACAGTTTAGTTAGAACATTTGATACCCCAATTCCCTTTTAACCCACTGTGCACTGTAAAATGCAAAGAAAGGGAATATAGCAAAAAAGATGAAGGAGATTTACAGTTCTATGAATTCATATCATATTACACTTCAGATATTTTTCTATTTGTTTGTTTGTTGGTGCAAATACGAGTAACGAAAAATAGAATTAACCCTCAATTGAGGTTGAAATTAATTAAGCGTATAATGCCATCACACACACACACACAACCCAGTCAGTTAGTCAATCTAGTCAGGCATCAACAATAAGAATCAGGGGTGGATCTGGATCAGGGAAAGAAGAGGTATCATTCACAACCCTATCTGGTCAGCCCTTAAAAAGACACATCATCAAATTGTCCACAATTAATTAGTTTGTTGCACGTTGTTGGGTATCAATGGGGAAACCCAATGTTCATTTGAGGAAGAGGGTGGTCGATGTCATTTTTCCATTTATCAATTATGACCAAATTTATGAATTTGTCACATGGCTGACAAATGGCTATCAAAAGTTATATGTGAGTAAAAACTGAATACTTTATTTTGAGAATTATGTGTAAATGCGTTTTCAAATGGACGAGTACGGTAAAAGTTTACGCATTTGTGTAGTCTCCGAAAAAAATATTTTAAACCCGTAAGGAAAGTAGTAAAGTCCGACTGGGTCAACTATATGATGCCCTTCACCACATTGGGTGTATACAGTGGCTCCATCGAATATATATATAATAATATACATTTCAAAAAAATTGTCTAAATGTGTATATTTGCACATTACTTACTTATATTTCTGAACAATACAAAAAACAATAACTTTTCTAGTGATAACAGTAAATTTCGTCAGAAAAACAAAATTAAATCAATTTATTGTGTTCAACGCAAAATCGGACAAAGCAAAGTATCAATATTAAATAATGCAAAAAATCGAGAAATTATTATTTAGTTGCATATCCTTTTTGTTCAGAACGGCTTGTAAACGCTTCGGTATTGATTTGACCAAATTCTGGCATACCTCCGGCCCTATAGAGTTCCACGATTCCAGTAAAGCCTCCTTAAGCTGTACTAAGGAGTTAATTTTTTTTCATAAACTCTCCTAGCTAATTCTTCCCACAGATGCTCAATTACGTTAAGGTATGGGCTCTGTACAGGTGTTTGTATAAGTTTTGGGCAGTTATGGATCAACCAAAGCTTTGCAACACCTGATGTGTGCTTGGGATCGTTGTCTTGATAAAAGGCAAAGTTGTTCGCGATACCCAATTTGTCTGCACTTTGCTTTACATTTTGTTTTAAAATGTTGATGTAGAAAAATTTGTTCATTTTACCATCAATAAAATGCAAATTGCCTACTCCCGCACTCGACATGCAGCCCCAAACCATAACAGAACCTCCTCCGTGCTTAACAGTGGCTTTTGTATTCTTATGATTTAATTCAGCATTTGGCTTACGCCACACATACACCTTTCCATCTGATCCGTGCAAATTAAATTTGCTTTCGTCAGTAAACAGAACCTTAATATAATGAGAACTATCAATAGAAATGTACTTTAAGATGATCTATCATCAAATTACCTGCTTCCAAAAATCTTCTGGTTTTAGTAAATACTCCTTTTGTCCGATTATGCGATGGAGCCACTGTATATATATATAATTTCATTTGGGTAAGTTTAGAGTCGTTTGCGCACAGTGGGACAGATTTGTGTAAATCGATTTAAAGCAAACTTGACACACGCTATTCGGTATGCTGCACTGTTTAAAATTTAATCTCAATCAGACACCCATTGATATATGGACGCTACGATATATCTATATCAGAACCGATTTCAAGCAAACCTGCAAGATATTAATTTATATTTACTCGAGTAGTTGTGTCAATCGGCCTAGATATGGATTTTTAGTGTATAATTTACTTAAAATGCACACATCATTCTATACTTAATTCCATACGCTATACCAAATTTCGTGCAAATCGAATGATTTTCAGGGACTTGGGTCCACCATTTACATAAAATCGGACGAAACTATATATGGGAGCTATATCTAAATCTGAATCGATTTTCACGAACCTTAGCACACATCATTCTAGACTTAATTTAGTACGCTATGCCAAAATTCGTCCAAATCAGGGACTTTGGTGCACCATTTACCTAAAATCGACCGAAACAATATATGGCAGCAATATATAAATCTGAACCGATTTTCACGAAACTTAGCACACGTCATATCAGTGATTATATTCCCCCATAGGGACTTTAATGACATCAAAGTTGAATTTCCTAGTAGGGAATCCTGGACTAGTGGCTCCCTACCTCTGCCAGGTCTGTCAATCTTCATAAATGTCTCCACAAAAAATTATAAATATAGGTTAATATTTTGGGATAGCCCCCCTATAAGGGTACCCCCAATTTTGCGGTATTTTGGGGGGTTTGATCACATTTTTCGACCGAATTCGTTGAAATTCGGTACTTTGAGTTCTTATTGAGTAGCAAATCTCTATACTAAAAATTATAAATATAAATTTTTTCGGGTAGCCCCCATATAAGTACCCCCATTTATTTTAGGGTTCTTGAGCGCGGTTTTCAATATAAATTTTTTCGGGTAGCCCCCATATAAGGGTACCCCCAATTTTCGGTATTTTAGGGTTCTTGAGCGCGGTTTTCAACCGAATTCGCTGGTTCTTATCGGGTACCAAATGTCTCCACTAAAAATTATAAATATAGGTCTACTTTTTCTGGTAGCCCCCATATAAGGGTACCTCCCAATTTCCAGTTTTTGAGGGGTTTTGACCGGATTTTTTCACCGAATTGGCTGTAATTTAGTAATTTGAGTTCTTATTGGGTAGCAAATCTCTCCACAAAAAATTATAAATATAGGTAAATTTTTTCCGTGTATTGAGGTTATCCCTTATAGCTGTATTCCACAGTATTAGGGGGATATTCGGTAGACGAAATTTTCAGTTCATACCTCTCATATTATGGAATTCTAAAACGATTTAGTCGATGTAGCCATATGTTGTAATAATTTTTCTCTCGGAGGATATCGACATAAAAACTAAAACGTGAGGTTTGAGAATGAACTGTATCGACCCGCATTTAGGACCAGGTCCTATATAAAAAATTTTACCTATTTAATATTTAGCGTCATGCACGGTATTGGGATTCAAAACTAAAATATTAGCTTGGAACTTGAGCTACATCGGCCTTTAATTAGGCCTAACCCCTTATATAATGAAAACATCAAGTAGTTGCTAATTCCTACACAATGTTGTCAATATTGGCCCCGCTTTAGTATGCCTCATATATAATATTGCCCTCTAAATTGGAGTATTTTCAGGATTTTATACACATGTTTCACCGTACCATGCGTTAATAATATATGTCAACATTTAAGGGTTTAGAGATTTTAGGAATTGAAACTGCTGAATTTTCTATTTGGTTTACAACAATCGATTGGAAGAATTGTAGTTATATGTATGTTCCCTATGTTTTCATTTCAAAAATTTGTCAGTATTTCTATGGTGGAGTGTATCCAAAGTTCGGCCATGTCCGAATTTAACGCTTTTTTACTTGTTTAGTTTCCGAGTGGACGGTTGATACAACAGGCGTACATCCCTAACCTAACCTAGCACACATAATTCTAGACCTAATTTGGTATGCTATAAGAAATTTCGTGCACATCGCATGATATATAGGGACTTTGGTACACCATTTACCTTAAATCGGACGATTTTTCCCAATTTCAATAGGGTTAGTCCTTCGGCCGAATAAGTGAGCTGTGCCAAATTTCATCCAAATCAGATCATAAATGCGACCTGTACTTTGTTTATAATTTAACATCAACAGAGGGACGGACGGACAGATGTACATGCATAAATCGACTCAGAAAGTGATTCTATGCATATTCTCAAAAGGAACCATGGGTCTATCACGATTCCTTTTGCCTGTTGCACAGTGCCTTTGCATAGTCCCCGAAAAAATTTGTTAGGATTCCACGAATTAGGTATTTTTAAAAATCCAAATCCAATCTGTGTATAACCTTAATGTTTATACTAACCATAGATTTATTACAACGATCGGTTACATCCCTCCATCTGGACACTAGTGCTCCGCAAACTGTTCAATATATTAAAGTCAGTATAAGTGTATACTAAATATACATTAGCTGGGCATATGTATATATTTCTGGACAACATTGACTGACAATTTTTTAATTGATTTTTGTTGGTATTTGATTTAATGTTTGCTTTCATTTAAACCCCCAAAAATGTAATTTCACATTTCATTAATATTATATATCAACAATATAGTAACAATAAATATATACATAATACACAAGTTCATAATTACCTTTTGTTTGTGTGTTGAGGCCTCCAATGCCATGATGATTCCCACTAAGATTTGCCACAACACCCACACCAGTCGATGTGCCTGCTGCACCACCACCACCAGTCATATTGTTGTCTGCATTACTCGCCGCTGGATTATTGCTGCTGCTGCTGTTGGCACCACCAACACTACCATTGCTGTGGTGATTGTGGTTACTTAGGCCAAGAGCACCATTACCACCTGTTGCACTTAAACGTCCATCATAACCATCCATACGTTGTTTTATCGTGGGCATAAGCGATGTCTGCTGCACTGAACCTGCCGCTGTCGACATTGACGATGCCGTTATGGCTGATGTCGATGTTCGTAGCCTGTTGTTGGCACTGTCATCCTCGTGATCCTTTTCCTCATCGGAGACCATTGCATCTTCATCTTCGGTACGATTTTTTGGTTCCCATGTCATTTTGTTCTCTTTCTTGAGACGTCTGCGAGCGTTGGCAAACCATGTTGAGACCTGCGTCAGAGTCATTTTAGTGATTATTGCCAGCATGATCTTCTCGCCTTTGGTCGGATAAGGATTCTTCATGTGTTCGTTCAGCCAGGCTTTTAATGTGGCAGTTGATTCCCGCGTGGCGTTCTTACGACGTGATGCTAAATCATAACTGGCGCCATAACTGCAGGAGTAGACAGTAATGCAACGGTGCAACATAGTGAGTGATTCAGTTTCCAGAGGACGGCAGCGAAAATAAATAATAACAACAAAAATAGGGAGATGAGTGAAAAACAAAACAAATATATACATAAACCAGTGAGCGGAGCAGTATAGTCGGACGGGGCCGACCATATGATACCCTACACAACTACCACGAAAAGCAAACTTTCTGCGTTTCTATATTCTGAGCCTGGGCAATATTTCGTGATATTTGCACCCTTTTTGCAGATTATAGATGAACAACTTCACTTTCTAACCCTGGCATATTTTCCAAAATGTTTTTTCTTGAAGTGAATTTTTACGCCATAAAATAAAAAATGGTCACTTTAGGTTTTTGTTCATTTGACCCTCGGAATATTGACCGATCATCATCTAAACAGCCGCTCTAAGTAGTTGGTCAGATCCCCTTCATCTTGTGAAATATGTGATGTTCTGGTATAATTGCCTCTAGAGCGACTAGAAAATCTAACAAAATTAAAGTTTTCTGTTCATTGCACCCCTTGAATTAAATCTTAACTTCACCGTGTTTGGGCCATAATTGCGGCCTCTGGAGCGACTAGAAAAACTGACAAAACTGTGGCCTGTATCGTGTTTACAAATTATAATGGACAGACGGACGGACGGACGGACACACATGTCTAGATCGACTCAGCTAGTCGAGATATGACGATCGGTATACTTAAAGGTGGGTCTAGGACCAATATTTCGCGGTGTTACAAATATTTGGGGCTGCACAAAGCTATAATACCCTGACAACATAGTTGTGTAGGGTATAAAAATTAAGTTTTCGGTCCACTTCATTCCAAAATTATTATCTGATCATCACCGAAAATTATAGGCGTTGTCCTTGACCATAACTGGAACCTCATGGAACATTTCAAAGCGATCAGCGCTATAGTTCCGCTCTCCAGAGTGATAATGGGTTACTAAATAATATACGGATACCTGTAAATATTTAGGTGTAACTCCCACATCCGAGCACATAAAACAATATAATTGGTATCAATTTAAAGGTCAACCACTCCTCTTGGATATACTATCAATTTTTCGGGTCTATGTCCTTCAGGAGTAAATATATATGCCATAGAATACAAATTTTGTCATTTTTCACACAAAAGTCAGGGTCCATTTGACCAGCTAAATATTGACCGATCTTTATCAAAACATGCATGCTTATTCTCTGGCCCGATACCCTTCTCCATGCAAAAATTCGCGGTGTTTGGGCCATAATTGCGGCCTCTGGAGCGACCAGAAAAACCGACAAAAATTTAGTATTTGGTCCATTTCATCCCCTAAATATTAACCGATCTTTTCCAAAAACAATAGGGGTCTTCATTGGCCAGAACCCATCCTACATGCAAAATTTCGTGAAGATTGGTCCATAACTGTGGCCTGTATCGTGTTTACAAATTATAATGGACAGACGGACGGACGGACGGACGGACGGACGGACACACATGTGTAGATCGACTCAGCTAGTCGAGATATGACGATCGGTATACTTAAAGGTGGGTCTAGGACCAATATTTCGCGGCGTTACAAACATTTGGGGCTGCACAAAGCTATAATACCCTGACAACATAGTTGTGTAGGGTATAAAAATATATTTTTTTCAAAGTTGGCTAACACACTGAAACATTCTTTTCTATCTACAATAAACGGTTGATTTGGTTAGATTCTGTTGCTGTTGCAAGCCATTAACACACAAGTAGGTGGATGGTATTGCATGAAGCAAAACACAGTGTCTAAAGTTGTCTAAATTTCTGTTGTGATTTGTCTTTTGAATAATTGATGTATATTGCATCCACATCATCTATTTCAACCTTGTTGAGTTTTCGCCATGTGGTTCTTATCACAAAAAGCATCTCGATATACACAAGAATACCTGGATTTCTCCCGATCGAACAACTATAAATCAAATTGATCATGTTGTGATAGACGGAAGGCATTCATCCAGTTTTTTAGACGTTCGATCGATCCGAGAAGTGAATATCGATTCGGACCACTACTTTGTAGCAGCCAAAGTTCGCACTTGTCTTAATGTAGCATCAAAGGGACGATCTAACACAACACGAAAACTCCACGTCGAAAAGCTTCAAACAAAACAGGTAGAAGAAGCCTACTCAGCTCAACATACCCAGCTGCTTGACGAAAGCACTCCTTGTTCCGATAATAGAATCGAGTGGGCGACAAACTTCAGCAAAAGCAACATTTGGGTACCAAAGACCATCATCAAGGAACGCGTGGTACGATCAGGAGTGTCATAATGCTACTAACGTGAAAAACGCAGCGTATAGCGTATATCGAGAGAAAAGGAGAAACGTATTTTCAGAGAAAAGAAGAAAGAACAAGAAACGCGTGAGCGTGAGCAAATCGAGAATGAAGTCCGGAAATTTTACCAACGAGTAAAACACCAAACCGAAGGTTTTGGTGCAGGCACATCCTCCTGTAGAGAATAGTGGCTGTGATGATGATATCCCAGAACCAATAAGATATGATGGCATAGAGTGTATACCACCTAGCCAAGATGAGGTCAGAATAGCAATCAATCGGCAGAAGAATAATAAAGCAGCAGATGCGGATGGGTTACCAGCCGAATTATACAAGACTGGTGGTCAGGTGCAGGAGCATGCACCAGATGATTAGTACAATTTGGCAAGATGAATGCATGCCCAATGATTGGAACAGCATCAGCATCCCGTGTCCCGTACACTCAAAGGAGACAGGACGATATATACCAACTATAGAGGAATATCTCTCCCTCCCATCGTGTTCTGTGAACGACTGAAAGCAATGGCCAATGACTTTATTGGACCATACCAATGCGGCTTCAGACCTGACAAATCTACCATTGACCAGCCCTATTCGTTCAGAGTTGTTTAACACTATGTCTGCGTTTGACATTCCTGCAAAATTAATTCGGCTATTCAGGACAGCTTTAAATGACAGAAGATCAGTAGTTAAAGGCGCAAAGGACCTCTCGGAGCCATTTAATACCGAACGAGGATTCAGACAAGGCTACAGTTTATCGTGTGACCTTTTTAACATCATGCTGGAAAAGGTCATACGAGAGGCAAAGGTGAACAGAAGTGACACTCTGTACACAAAACAACACATGTTACACATCTACGCCGATTACATTGAGAGCGGTAACAATTTGCAATTTGCGGACCAACAGTGGAACTTGACCAACAGTGGAGAGTGTTGGTCAACATATGCTACTATGGTCTATGTAAGTAATTTAGAAACAAGGTCACCTGCCGCCAGACCAAACTCAAACTCTACAAAACGCTGATATTACCCGTGTTGTTATATGGATCTGAAGCATGGGTACTTATGCAAGCAGATGAGGCAGCTCTTGGAGTGTTTGAGTGCAAAATTCTCCGAAAGATCTATGGGCCGATGTGCGGTAAATATCGCCGTCGAATGAACATTGAGTTGTAAAATATATCCTCGGGCATCGACATAGTCAGACGTATCGAGCTGCAGCGACTACGTTGGCTAGGTCATGTTGTGAGAATGGATGAGGATTCCCCCACCCAAAAGGCATATAAAAGAGAACCAACTGCTGGAGGTGACACGAATTCGAATATGGTTTTAGAATATGGTCTTTCAAATTGGAAAAATTGCGCACAAGACCGACGCACATGGAAATATTTTTTAGGCTCGGCATATAGAACAAATATTCTGTCACAACCCAGCTAGTTAAGTAAATGGGGTGTTAAATCTTCCTACCAAAAATTGTCGATATCGGTTTACGTTTTTTAAACCAATTGTCTCTAATTTCATTTGTCAGATTTTGATTGAGTGTCAAATCTTCCTACCAAAAATCGGTTTACGAGTTGATTGAGTTAGGTTTGAGATTTTTACCCTATTTTCTCATCGAATTGTCTACATTTTGAATTTCCCGGAAATTATTATTTTCAGAAATTTGTCTACGTCGGTCCTATATTTGATATTGAAAAAAAATTGTTTCTTTGATGCGCCATTTATATGAGATCGAACAAAATTAAATAAATGTGGTGACTATAACTAAATTTGGAGCAATCCTTAGCACTTTAAGTTTCTTAGTTGATAGATAATTGCCTTGCAGCTTATCGCCATTTTGTTATTTTTATGTCCTACATAATTATGCTGTGAGAGTTTTTTTTATATCTACTAAATAATTTAAACACTCTGCAGATATTGTAAATATCTTTGGACCACATGACGTCTATTGTATCCAGGGAACCCACTGACTGTTTTGTATAAGACACATTAGCAAGACAACAATTTAACCTTGTTGTATTTTTTGTTTGTTTTTTTTTCCTGAAGGACTCAATGATGCTGTCTAAAAGTGATATTTTACAGCCCTATAGGTATTTTGTTGGCAATATATTCATCTTTTTTAGGGTTTTGATGTTGATTCATAACTTTATTAAGACACTGCGCCAAGCAATTGATATTTGTGCTATGCTTTCGAACTGTTACGAATATTTTCTGGGACATTGGCGACTGAGTAAGCCACGAAAGCTTTACGGCTTAAGTTCGCAATATACGTAGTATATACAACAATATCAGAATGCCACAATTGCAGTCACACACTTCCACAGTAGACTACCATGGATTTGCGATTTTTATATGGTTTCAGTTTCTGGCCAAAACGTATTATAATGGTCACTATTTTTGACTCAGCAGGTGTTGGTCATTGTGATGGATTTTTTCTGCGCTGTTGCGCTTATTTTGTTTTTGCGTACGTTTCTTTTTCCGTTTTTTCTTTTTTTTGCACTTTTATGTCACTTTGTTGTTATTGTATTTTTGGTGGTCAGTCTGGGGGCACATTTAGATGTCTGATGCACGACTGCCTGCGTTAACTTGGTTTCGTTTTATTTATTTATGTTGTCACAATTGGACTTATATGCTCACATAAGTGGCATGCAACAGCGGGAATAATTAAAACTCAAGTCGAAACGATTTACCCAA